TAGAAGAAGCTGCAGCCTGCTCTTAATTCCCCCTAAATTGAACTACCCCCCTTCTCTCCCCTCGTGCAGGTTCGCAGCTGTCGGTCTGAGAATAAATGCTTTGCTTTGCAGAGAGGGTCGTCTTAAAGTGACCTATGTGATTTCAGCGCTCCACCCTGCGTTTGTTTTCAGTCTATTGTCTGTTTTAAGTCAATAGATGAAAGTTCCCCAGAAGCTTCTGGGGTGAAAATGTGTTCCATCTCATTTGTCTCTTTTTGCAGAGTGGAGCCGAACGCTAGTCTCGGTAAAGTTGGCTGCTCTGGTTTATCATGTCACACTCGCGATGTTAACGTCCTGCTGCTGGTGCTCATGATGGTTGAGGACGACCTCCTGGCTCATGTTTTAATGAGCCTCTTAATCCCCAAACCTGACCGGAGACTCGTGGCAGCATCTCGTTCTCTCTTTACAGCCGTTTCACTCATGACGTCGTTTTTACAGAATCCAAAATGCACAGTGAAGAAAAGATGCCAACTTTATTGATTTAGAAAATCACCTTAAACCCTTTTGCGGAGCAGATTTATCTTTTTGAGCGTGATGAGTTTATTCACAATGCAGCTGCTTTGTCTTCATATTGTTCTGGATGTAAGCCCTGAAGCTGTTCACTTTTCCTAAATTGTGAATGATGCAAAAAAATAAAGTCATGTTTGTATTAATCTTCTGTGACTTGTTCATTTTCACATCGAGTTAAAAACAACACAACCACGTTCACTGTTTGTTTTTTTATTTCTTACAAAATCACAGTTTAATAAATAGTCTGTAAAAATGAGTACAAAAGCGGTTTTCTTAACATTTCATATATGAATCACTCGTGACTTTCAGGTCAAAGGAGTCTTCAGTTGGACATTTTTTTTTTTTTGTCAGGAATGACTTCTTTTTTAATTTTTTTTTTTTTACAATCTAGTTTTGCTGAATTAAGGCCTCTTGATTTTGGCATCAGAACAATCTGTCATTCAAATGTTTTTTTATCTGAAGTTGAATTAGTGTAGAGTTATGAGCCCCCCTGGTTTCACAGTTCAGTCAGGAAAAAAATAAATAAACACATTTACAAATAAATACCGACGTGGCTCAACATGCAGATGTAATCCCTTTGTCCTAAAATGCTGACAAAACAAAGCACATTTCCAACGGTCAGTGTTTGACACTGCAGATAAAATGCATCAATAACAATGGCACATGAGGCTGCTTCATCCAAGGGGATTCCATCAACTTGAGAATTAACATTTTTCTTGTGTCTTTTTTTAAAGAGTTAGAGGGGAAATACTTTCTAAAAGATAAACATTTTGGTGGAATTCCCCTTGTAAGAAGTTTAGCGGTGACGAGGAGTGCAATCCTGTGTTGTGAAAGACACTCTGACATCTTTACTGCATTACAGTGAAACCTCTGAGTGGAAACACGCATGAAGATTTAATGTTCTCAAACTATGTATTTATTTCAGGACATTCTGTTAAAGGAATAGACAATTTTGGAAATATTCTAATTTTCTTTCTTGCCAATACTTGCGTCAAAGATTCAAACTGCTCTCACGTCTGTCCGTTCAATGTGAAGCTAACGTTAGCGCCAGTTACTAGCGGGTTAGGTTAGCATAAAGACTGGAAACAGCTAGCCTCCCTTTATCAAAGGGAAAAGAAATCCACCCCCCAGCTCCCATGTTAAATCCCCTTTGAACAATAAATACAATCACAACTATTGATACATTAAAACATTGATTGTTGCTGTTTTAAAGGTAGTTTGTAGCATTTAGGGGAATCTATTGGCAGAAATGGAATCTATTAAGTATGTTTCCATTAGTGTTTAATGACTTAAAAAATAAGAATTGTTTTCTTTAGCTTAGAAATAGCTGTTTATATCTACATACGCCACATTTCTACAGTAGCCCAGAAAGGTCAAACTAAATGCTGACTCAATCTGCAACGTCACCACTAGATGGCGCCAGATGCTAACCACTGCACCTTAAAGGAAGTCACTTCTTACAGCCAAGATATGGAACATACTTCCCTGTAACATCGCATTGTGCTGTTTTTACAGTTTAAATTGTGTCCATTAGAGGTGCTGGTTGGCAAATTTGGGTGCATTCCAAAACCCATACTACTATTTGATATGCCAGAAACAGATTTAGAGTGTCACGATACATATGTCCAAAAAGGCGAGGATGTCCTGCTGCATCCGGTCACATTTTTGCAGTATGCAAACCAGCATATTTTTTTGGCCCACAATCCTCTTGGACCTTTGGACTGAGCCAGGCTAGCTAGCAGTTTCCAGTCTTTATGCTAAGCTAACTATCTGCTAGCTTTTGTATCTAGCATGCAGACGTGAGTGTTGTATCAGAGTTTACTTCCCAAAATATCAAACTAATACTTTATAAATCTTCTAGTGTGTTTCCAACCGAACTACTGCAGAGGGTTTCAACACTAAATTACTGCATATTATAACTCCTTTTGTTCATTCCAACAAAAGACAATCTTACATATAAAAAAAATGACAATGCAATCCAAAGAAATGAGAAGGCCTGTTTGATTTAGCCCCAAATCTCTAGAAGTTATTTTTTTTTCTTCTTTCTGTTTGGAGGAACGGGTTACTTTCACATTTCAGAACACCAGATGTTACAGCATTTAAAACATCACATTATGAATCTTTTCTTTGCAGATTCCATTTCCTTAAAGGTACACTGAATTAACAATAAGGCATATTCTAAACATTTCCAATTTGCAGGTCAAACCTTGACCACTAACAGTATCTTCAAAAGCTAACATTTTTGAAGCACATTTTCAATTTATATTACAAAAATGAAAGACATTTTGCAGCTTTTAACGTTTTGACCTTCAAGGTAAAAATCCATCTACAAAGAACGTTTTGCACACGTTTCGTGAGGGAGAGTCGTACAGCCGATACGCATGACCTCATCTCTCTCGCGTATCTTCATAAGAACGGAATTCACATCTCTACACAGACCGATAAGATTGTCACATTAACGTAAGATGTTGCAAAAATCATATTGCTCCACAATGGCTGCGAGAAAATAAACCTCCAAACCGATGCATTAATAAATAAAGGGAATGTTAAACGTGAAGCGGATGATTCCTCTAGTTTTTTGTGGTTTTTTTGGTCAAAGGCTGGTTGATGATGCAGAGAGGCTGTACAGTGAACACAACTGCAGTTTTTTCTTTCTCAAACTGGACATTTGTGTGATGATTTATGTCGTTAATCGACCCTCAGACATGTTTGAAACACAATTTCTAAACTACGCGGGCTTCAATGAGAAAACAAGCAGCTCTCTTTGCTGAAAAACAATCTTCCTGTCGATAAGCAAGACAGGCAAAGATCTCCCTCCTCTTCCTCCTCCTCACTGCACCACTGCTCCTAACAACCCCAACTCATTATTGCTTGCGTGTTAATACATAAAGTATGAGAAAAACATTCTCTGAAAACTAGAATAATTTCACAGTCAGACTCCAGCATGAATGACAACAAGGGTCCAAACTTAAAAACAGCACGACTCTGCCTAATTCCCCCCCCCCCGGGTTTCTTTCTGCTTTAACGAGGACAGACTCCAGTTTGTGGGAAGAGACACGACATGGACGTTTGCTGGTGTATTCAGTATGTAGCAAGTCACAAATTCTTTGGAGTTTCATTCGATAAGCCGAGATGATGGAGCCTGCGGGACCTTTATGTACGGTCACGTCGCAGGATGCAATGTTTTCACACACACTCGCTTCAGATCCAAATAAAGACAGACGCACACACACACACACACACACACACACACACACACACGCACTCGTCGCACACACTCGCTGCCGTTCTCGATGGAAAACACGATTGGCACAGATTATCAAAATAAATACCCTGGAAGCTTGGCACTATGCAAAAGAAACTTCACATTTTTGAAAGAAATCTTATAAAAACTATTGAATAATCTCAGTCTACTCCACATTGTCGTTATCCTCACTATTACTTATATACTATATGCTGATGAAGGTTACACCAGTGTCGTAAACCTCTGAATGACGTAACTACCACTGAAACAATATAGCTCCTATTCAAATAGATTTTTTTTTCCACAAACGTACATCGAAATGAAGTATCTAACATCTATGGGACTACAGATAGTGCTGTGGTCTGGTATGCTTCTCTTTATAGTGCCTCTTCGTTTTCCCCCCCCCATCCTCCTCCCTCTTCTTTCAAACAATCACTTAAAAGTAATCTCTGGAACCCAGAAACAAAATCTCTTTTAGTTCTGGGAACCAGATACAAAGTTTGTTATTTTCATCCCACCTCAGACAGATGTTTCTGCATCTGTGTGGACGTCTTGTCAGGACAGATTACCTCACAGGTGTCCCTCCAGGATGCTGGTGACAGCCTGGTCCAGTGAAGGGCCTGACGTGGCCCTGGTCGGGGCTGCAGAGGGGCCCTGCAGGCGCTGGAGCTCCAGGATGCTGTCGATGGCACTCTGTAGATGTTCACTGAGCATGTTGTCCTCTTGGAGGGGGGGAGGCGGCGGGCTGAACCGCTGCTCCGGCCGAGGCGACTCGTCCAACCTGTAGCATTTCAGTTTGGGGGCGCTGACATCTCTGGGAGGCAACTCGAAGCAACCGACCTGTGGCTCTGGCATAGAAAGAGGGTTTGGGGCTTTTATTTTGGAATGGGGTGCTGTCTGTGGGACTTCCTCTGCAGCGTTACAGCGCAGAGCTCCGTTGGAGCCCTCCTCGTCGTGCTGAGGACGCCGCGGTGCTCCGTTGGGTGCCTGAGAGTGGCGTTCGCTCACAGCTCCGCCGCCGTTGGTCAGCTGCCCCGTGTGGTCCCTCTTGAGTCCCGGGTCGCAGGCCGAGTTGTGAACCACCTTGCGGGAGCCGGACTCCTGCTTGATGGTGAGCCTGAGAGCCCCGCGGGAGCTGGAGCGGTACGTCTTCAGTCCTGGGGGCCGGTCGGACAGTCTGGTCCAGGCTGGTGGAGAAGAGGGGCTGCCGGAGGAGCAGCGCTGGGAGGAGCCGGAGGAGGGGGCACTGTGGGGGGAAGACGCTGATGTAGCCAGGGCCGTCATAAAAGACTCTGGAGTGAAGAAAAAAACAGAATAGATTAAACATTTTTAATGTTCTAAAGCCGTCATCATTACAAACACACGCTGTGCAAGCAGGTTTTAAAACTCCCTAATCTAGCCATGCAGACAGGTCAGTCACAATCTCAGATATGGCGGGCTGTATTACAGCGAAATGTGTTTAAAAAAGACAGAGAATATGTGTGATTTTATCATACATGTTTTATGTAATGCCGAAGTGACTTCAGGGTAAATTTACAAAGACTCAAATCTAATATTTATTATATATTTTAAACTATAAACATTTTCAAACCCTCTTCTAGAGCTAGTCGATAATTCAATATAAGTTATCGCCTTTCAAGTGAATCATATTGTGATGAAATCAAATATTGAGATATTAAGATACACAATCACGTTTTTCAGACAATGTTAAATTCTTAATAAAATAAGAAAATACTCGGTAGTGTAGAGTATTTTGTATTAAATTACCAGAAAACATGCTGGTGATAGAAAATGACCTAAAGATTTTGGCCTCTACTTCCTGCTGTGGATGAGGATTAACTTGCCTCTCTACGTTGAGTCCTGTTCTTTTAGCATTTTGCTCTCAAATCCTATTATTTTTTCAACAAAACTGTTGTTTTTCATGCGCTGTATTAGAATGACTATGTAACAAAAGAAACACATTTGTACCAATGTTTATTAATATGCACCACAAGTGAAACAAATGTTTTTGTTTCAGCTCGCGTTAACTATCATTTTCCATTTGTATAATTATTATTCCTTCAGACGTCCAGCAGCAGCTCAGCTTGACATTTAACAGTTTTCAAGAGCTCTCCTCCCCTTTTCCAACTTGTTTTAATTAACATAACAACCCTGCTTTAATTTGATCTTAACCTCACACATGTAATTTTCTCGTCACCATGCAGAGTCTCACTCAGCACGACCCCGCTCCACATTTGCACAGCTTAATTACACATTCACACCTGGGAGCTATTCTGGAGCAAATATGGAGGTTAAGTGCCGCGCTCCGAGGCACAAATAAATTAATTCGTAAGAAAGGAATTTAAGGGAGTGTCGCTAATTCACGTCATTCATTTTCTCTCTCAGTCCTGGGATTTGAAAAGGCATAAAAACACACACACACACACACACACGTGATAAAGTAGGCGTTGATGGTGGTCTACACTGACCTGGGTCTCTGCGGACTCTCCGTCTGTCCTCTGCTAAAGCGCATCGCTCAGCTTGGAGGAAGAGACGCTCCAGCATCACCATCTCTGCTGACGGACTCTCCTGCTGTGGAAACCAGTTCATTTCCCATCACACACACACACACTAACACAAATCAATGCTGCCTCATAAACAAAAGACGCCTGGTCTCAGAAGTAGTTTACTGGACAAAGAACGAAAGCTGTGTGTCCTTCCTCACCTGGGCTTCTCTCACCAGTAGCTGCCTGTATTTGTTGACCATGTCCTTGGTGCGTTTTAGCAGGAAACCGGACACAGTGTCAAACTCCTGGTCCACTGTGAGCAGAGAAACATCATCATCATCATCGTCAACTGTTACTTTTCAAGCAAAAATACTAAATATCTTCTTCATTAGGGTTCGGGTTCACCCTTGACCACCACAACAGATTGTTAATTTTTTTTAATGAATTTATTTATTTTTAAATTATTGTCAGTCATCAACCAAAGCTCACGGACCTAAATTGAAGTCCTCCTGAGTGGGCAGGTGACCGGCGCAGGTGTGGTATGGCAGCATGCGTCTAACGGCGTCCTTCAGCGTGGAAAAGGCCGGGCCGGTGAAGGGGGTCTGAACCGCTGCGTGGTCCAAACAAATCTGCTGCTGGAACCTGAAGGAACACAACGAAAGGATTCGGTGTAACCCAGAGCTGCTACAGACGGGTAAAGTAATAAAACGCGGCGTTGTGGTTTTTGTGTTGACGCTCTATTACTGACTGCAACGGTTATTCAGGGCAGAAATGTACCGCTGGTCCTTTGTTGGCCTCCAAGTTCTCATAAAATACAGAGAACCAATCACAATGTAGACGGCAGCTTCTGTATTTGTTACACAGAGACACAGAAAAGAACCAGGACTGTGCGTGAATGCTTTTTGGCCTCAGTCAGTCTGATGAGACACAACTTTATTTAGGAGAGCACGACATAAAATAATAAAGGTGTTAGAAATAGACTTAATCCACGTCCCAGCTGATTTTGTACTTTTAGTTTTGCAAAACTTTTGAAAAAAAGGTTTAAGTTATTTAATTAGTAATCCTTAAAGGGTTCAAGGGATCAAGCTCATTTCAATATTGGTTTCTGCTAGAATTTGTTTACATGCTTTAAAAACCACATATTTAAAATGCACCGTTTCCGAACACAGGCTGTGTGTATTTTTACTTTCACAGTATTTCTAAAGCACTTGGACCTGCATTATAATGAAAAGACATGAACAAAACTCATTTATTTACAATATGTGGCCTTTAAGATTGTAGTACCGGTTGATTTAGTATTATCATTTGAGTGACAACTATTTAAATGTGCTTAAGCTTCAAGTTGTATTAAAATAATGTGCATTCTTTGTGTATATAATGGAGAAAAACTGTAATACCATTTTTTTCCCCCAATGTGCCCAGTTTGTAATACTGTAAATCTATAAATATTGTAATACTTTCAACGATACTTTCAATGACGGTTACTTGCAATAGATAGGGACATCTATTCAAATTTAAAATCTATCGAGATTTCCACATAAAACTTTCAGAAATGAAATGACACACGGTGAACCCGTGTCTTTCCCCAGCTGTTAATCCTGCTTTGGCAGTAGTGCTAGTAGTATCAGAAGCTGTACAAGTCCTGCTATGAATGTACAGGTAGTAGTACCCACAGTAGCAGTAGTTGTTGTAGATGCAGCAGTAAATGGCAGCAGGTGTAGAAACGGTAAAAGAAATCCTCAAGGACTCAGATTAAAAAAACATCATTGAAGGATCAGATTTAATTCATGTCTGTGAAACCAGCCAGCTGTTGATAAATGAATAAACTATTATTACCGAGGACAGAAAGCTTCTTTGTAGTATGTATTATATCCAGAAGTACAATACTGAATAATCCCTCGAGTTGTTGAAGAGTCATTGTGTTTTAAATTAAAATGAAGGTCGGCTTTGGGCTCCATCTTTTACTGCTAAATGGGAAGCATGAGTAAAAATCCTTTACTTTAAATCCTACTTGCCAACTACAGAAAGACAATCTATTTATCACATTTCCTTTGATTTACAAATCCTCCTAAATGTAGTGGTTAAAAGTATTCTGTGAGGGTCCTACGTCTTTCTAATATATGTTTAATTGTTTGGTTCGCTTCTATTCCAGCTACTTTTCTACTCAGAAGGCGATTATGTGAGTCTGGGACTGAACTTGTGCTGGTGTTTTCTCGTCCACGGTTTCCTTCAGCATTACAGAAAGTCTTACCTGTGCCTGCGCATTGCTGGTGTGAGCCTGTCCTCTCTCTGCCGCTCCAGAGGATCTGCCAGCTGGCAGCCAGAAAACATTTTTGGATGAGATCAAAGGACGGGAGACAAGGGTGCGATTTCAAGTCATTAATGATGCGTTTGCTGCATTTAACAAATAATCATTTCAAAGCTCTGTTTCAATACCGGAGCCAATTCAGTTTCATCCGGAGGGGAAATCATTTTGACTCATTACAAACATTTTAAAACCCGTTTATTCTCAGCGTAAGACAAAATACACTAGTGAGGTTTACAGGTTTTCAGTTTCTAAAACGTGAATATGTTCCGGTTTTCTTTGCTGTCTATGATTGTAAATTTAATATATTTGGGTTTTAAACTTTTGGTCAGACAAAACAAGACAATTAAATATGCTAACTTGGGAAAATAAGATATCTTTATATACAACATGTGTTATATTCTGTTATTTTTGGATTACATTGACATAAAGGACTTCTTTTACAACATTTAAATGACATGTTTAAAATATATAATTTCATTTTTGACATCATGAGACAACATATCGTATTTCTCACCTTGGTGCCGGTGTTCTGGCTCGTCTGGATGGGGCCGGGGGGCCCGTGGCCCTGGATACCCGGGGCTGCAGGAGAGGGTGGATGAACATCGAGAGTAAACGCTTTACTCTCCACGACCAAGGCAGCTGTTGGCTCTGAAAAAGGGGGACGCAGGGACGATGACGATGATTGTATTGCAGATCATAATAATGTGATGGTGAAGAGTAAAGCCATTCTTCTTTGAATGAACCGCTCTGTGTCACACTTGAATTGACACTCACTGTTTTGTGTGTGCTGTTGGACAGCGGAGTCGTCTCCTCCTTTGGAGAGACAAGCAGAAGCAGCTGTGGGATCAGACTGCTGCTGAGGCACCGAGACACGCAGAGTGGGGGGGCTGCTGTGGACTGGAGCGTTGACCGAGGACTGAGGATGGGAGATGGGCGACTGGACCTGGAGCTGGGGCGGAGGCTGGGAGACAGACGGCTCTATCTGCACCTGGTTCTGGGCAAATAAGGCCTGTGCGACCTGGAGCTGATGAGGGACCTGGTACTGGACTTGGGGCTCGATGCGAGTCTGGGGAGTTGTGACTGAACCCTCAGGTCCAGGCGGAGGGATCTGAGGGGAGAAACTGGTCGGAGCTGGTCTCTCCGTGTCCGGGATGGGAGAGGGGGAGCAGATCAGCGGAGTGTCCACTGAGTCTGAGTGAAGCGGAGGAGCCTCGACACACTGGTCGGACATCGCGGTGCGGGCGTCCTGACCCGAGACTGCCTGGGTCTGTGGTTGAGTCTCTCTCTCGTTGGACACCGGGGAGGCGAGCGACTCCATCGGCACCGCTGGCAGCGATCCGACCAACAGTTCAGATGTGATAGGAGAACTAAGTGCTTGCTGTGGCAGAAAACATGAATGAACAACAATTAGATCAATCTCATAGTTCCTTTAGGAGGCGGTCAGCTGATCAATGTTGCTGCACAGACATGGAACCAAGTTTCAAATATGATCCAAACTTATTTTTAATGTTGAACTTTATCCCACTCAAACCATTTTTCTTTAACCTCTTTATTGTATGTCAAAGTGTTGTTTTAATGCTTTCTGTTCAGCACTTTGTGTTGACTTTTTGTTTGGAAGTCGTGATACAAATGAACTCGCCTTGCCCTCAGTGGCAAAAGGTCTTTCTCTTTTTAACTTATCATAGCAGGAAAAGCAGAGATATTACTAATAAGAATTAAAGTGTCCCAGTGAGAGTGACTGTGAGCCAGCATGCACAAGATGATGAAATCAAAGCAGCTAAATGGAATTCAGCCATCGTTCATTTAATTCTCCCCCAGGCCGGAGCTAGCGTTTGTGAACTAAATTTAAAAAAAAAATAAAATAAGGATCACATCATTTTGGTTTAAAGTTCGCATTATTGTACCTCAACATGGTTAAAAAAAGGTTAGGCCTACTGTAGCTGACGCTGATCGGCGTATAAACGTTGCCATGACAACACCGGAAGTTGACTTCCGCGATTTGTATTATTATTAGTTTATGTTTTCAATTATAATACATGTTATGTTTACTGTAATTTTGGGTACCTTGTGTTAAACTCATTATCGTTTTGCCCTTGTTTCACTGATGATGATAGACGAGCTTTTGTTGTTGTAACATGACCATTAACCCGGAAGTTGAGCGGAGCTCAGAAAGACGACAAATGGCGGGTGAAACCAGCGAACCTTTTCTTTCCCGTCATGTTATTCTCCTGCTGGTCTACCAGGCGAACACGGTAAAGCTTATTAAGTTAACTGATTAAAGTACTGTTATACTTGTTGTAGGTGATGAGAGACAGAGCATTTGTTTCTTTGTTGTTTGTACACGAAGATATTTTGTGTCTTCTAGTTTCCACGGTGTTCCATGAGAGGACAATAATAAACGTGAACATCAGTAAGAAGCGTGGACTCTTTTATGACCAGTGTGGATACACCTACATCTAACTCAATCACTGATTTAATGCACCACCCGGCAAACACGCGAAGTGACACAAAACAAGCACACCCTCGATAATGCGCGACCAAACAGGTGCATGCAATCATGCTAAATGCTCCTGATGACCCTCCAGTGTGATCTTGACATTTGCTGAGGACCTTCTACCTTCACTGAGGTGTGTGAGGATTTTCTACTGTCTATAACTTTTGTTTATGGTATCTCAACCTTCTTAGTTTTGAATCACTAACATTCAAGTTGTGAGGGGTTTTTAACCCAATCGGCCTTCTTCACAAAAACTTCAAAAGCTAACTCCCGTCTTAAACCTTTATTGGAGGTGTGTTTAGCTTGCTGCACAGCTGTGAAACTGCACACATAGTGAGGACGGAATAAGGATCATATCTTCCCGATATGATATCTTACTGATACTATTAGAAACACTAAGGAAGAGCACTGTTACCAACATATGAATGTAAACAAGCACTTCATCACTGAATCAGCAGGAATGTGTCGAAGCTCTAACCTGTTGCAGATGTTGCATAAAGGCCTCGTTCTGACTCATCGAGTGGGTCACTTCCTCCACTACTTGGGTCATGTCTGCTGGGGGCATCAAGAGTTTAGGGATCTCCACAGCTGGGTCGGGGGCCAGAGGTGGTTCAGGGGGCGGCTGCAGGATTGTGACCACAGGAGGAGGGGAGGACTGCAGCCCTGCAGAGGTGGGCTGCACCGAGACATGCTGGAGGACATGTCCATAGGGCTGCAGCAAGCCAACAAATAGACATCAGAGTAGAGTCGTTAAAGCTGAGTTTACATGCAAAACACCTGTTTTAACATCACAGACTGAGGTGTGGCCAGGAGTGCAACATGCCTCTAAAGGACACTAGAGACGCTTCCTTCTCTTGAGGATGCTTCAACATACGGACAGTAGGAGCAGGGGATCGAACGGCCAACATTGAGGTTAAAGGACAGCCTGTTATATCCACTTAGCCACCACCAGTATATTTAGTGAGATTTAGCAGTTTAACTACAAATCCAGTATATTTTGTTTTTTTCTGTCCACTTGTAAATGCACGGTGAACAGTTTAGAGTTTTTGGACATTTTTTTTCCACCATTAGATACTTCCTCTGAGAATAAAAATCACTTAATTGACACTTGAAGCTTGTGTAATCCATCATAGTGGCCATCAAGTCTGCATGATTATCTTTTGTCAACATTGCATTATCATAGCGTGTCTAAAGCAGTTTAGGCGCAGACGGATTTGACGGGGAAACTTCAGCGATCTAGTGTTGCGCTTCCATAAAGTTGCAAGAGGCAGATAAAAGCAAAGATGTTTACTTTCCGAATGATGATTTTTGGGGCGTGGCTTGTTGCCGACTCTCGCTAGATTTATCAACTTTTGGAGCAAGTGCTGCTTGTTACTTTCATTGGAAAAGAGTTGGCAACACTGGGCAGGATATTTTTTAGTTGGTTCATTTTTTTATCTATAGTGTACTCTTGCTATAACAACCCTGCCTTAATGCAGACTTCACTGATGTTCACTGCGTTCGATTGCATCATCCAAGCAAGTTTCATGAGTTTCACAGATTTTCATGCTGCACAGAAATAAAAGGAAACCAATGTACGCCTGCAGCATTGAGCAAAATAGATTGAAACCACTGAAATAGCAGCATGGTTTGTTATCACCGTGTAAAATAACATATATAGAAGATCTGATTGGGCAACTTCCCGGGACAGAAGTGGCAGCTCACCTGCGATAGCTGGTGGAACGTCTCCTCTGAGCCGGTCCTCTCCTCTTGAATGGCTCTCTCTGGCAGCAGCACCACGGAGGCCTGCTGGAGGCTCAGCTGTCCTTCTGTCACTCCTGTCTGAGGAGCCGGAGCCTGGGCGGCAAAAGGCAGACCCTGAACTACTGAGGGGCCGTTGACGATCGAGATGGAAGTGAGATCTGGGGTCAGCACCCCTGAACTGTTGATCAAGGTAATGTGGTTTCCAAGAGCGGGACTGTGGACCAGGGTGGTACGCTGCCCTTGCCCTCCTGGAGTGTAGGTTCCAGTCAGCTGTGCTGGCATCTGGAAGACAGTAGGGGGCGCTGACTGTAGCTGCAAAGGTCCTGACAGCACAGTGGCCTGGCGGAGCGCTAGCTGCCCTGAAGGGGTGGTGAAGACGGGGCTGAAGTTCAGCTGTCTCTGGGGCACAGTTAGGATCTGAGAGCCTTCTACCAGATGCCCAGTGGAGGCGTTCACACTGTGGAGCGACGGGCCGTGGTGACTGGGGGTCAGCAGCGGTCGACCTGCACTGGCAGACTGGGAGATCGTAACAGGGGACTGGCCTGGAAGAAGGAACTGGTTTTGGCCTTGGAAGAGTCCCTGAGGCTGGAGCACAAAGGAGCCACCCTGGTTGACCAGCTGCAGGCTGACCTGTTTGTGGAGGTGCTGGGAGGGCTGCGGTGGTGGAGCCGCAGGCTTTTGGCCTGGAGGTTGGGAGAGTAAAATATTTGGTGAGGCAGTCCCAGGGAGAAATGTAAGACCTGGTGTGTGCTTTTGCCCAGAAGGCTTGGGGCTAATCTGAACCAGTCTGGGCTGAATGCTGATGGGCAGCTTGGGTTGAATGGGAAGAGGGGCACGCTGCAGGATGAGGCCCGGTGCTGCTCTCAGGGTTGGGGTGATAAGGGGGCGACTGGTCATACTGGGAACGGCCTTGTGGATGATCATACTGGACGCCTGGGCAGGAGTCAGAGAGAAGGATGTCTCTGGTGAGGCAGCGGGGAACACATTCCCTGGTAGGAGCCCCATCAGCTGAGGAGGGGCAGCAGGTTTTAGAGAAGGGCAGCCCGGCCCGACAGCCAGGAGGGAGGGCTGGGGAGGCTCCACCGCTGCCTGGGTGTCTCTGGGCAACGCCTGAGTGATGGGCAAGGTCACGGATTTGTGTATGAATGGCACGGTGGGTGAGGAGAGGAGAGGGGCAGGTGAGTACAGGGACAGGCTGTCCCCGGGTTGGGCCAGCTCTGCCTCCAGAGCCATGGTCTGCTCTGTGATCTCGGCCTCCTGCAGGCTCTGCTGCAGGATATCACATGCCACCTCTGCCTCTTCCGCTTCCTCCACTTCCCCCTTCTTTGCCTCGAACGCGGCCTCCACGGGCGTCCCACCCTGCACCACCTGTTGGTCTTCTCCTCCCTCCGGCGACGACAGGAGGGCCTCCTCCAGGAAGGACAAGTCCACACACTCAGGTGGAGGTGTGTCTGGGGAATCCCTGCCGTCTCCCAGCAGAGAGACGGGGCTCTGGAGGAGGAAACAGTGGGAGATAGAGAGAGAGAGGGGTGCAGAAAACAGGATGAAGGAGAGAGAGAGAGAGAGAGTGAAAACGAGGGGAGAATTGTGTGATTATCAGGAGTTAACAGGAAGCTGTTTCAGGCACAGAAGGAGAGAAAAAAAACAAAATCATTCTCCTGGGTGGAAAATGCTGGTTGTTGTGACGCTGCTGGCTGTGGATCCAGACACTCACCGGGGCATCTGTGAAGAGGGAGGGCTCCCCAGAGGAGGAGCTAATGAGCAGGTCTTCAGTCTGCAGCTGGTGGGATGAAATCAGTCTGTTTTTAGGTTGGGCTCACAAAGTCGCGGCGACAAATGAACGCAGTGTTACATTACGACTCTCGGTCCTCCTCCACTCATCTCACACGACTGTGCGCCAAGAAAAATTCCCACCTCGAAATTATCATTTGCACTATTGATTTTTTTTTAAATAGGATTTGAGTCCCTCTCTATTTAAGACTCTTCTGTTACCTCATTGGTCCCATGAAGGAAGTCGTTCAGGGCTTGGGGGTCACTGCGAAGACAAAGAGAATCACAATTAAAATCAGTTAAATCCTTTTTGAATATTCCAAACCAAGTATTTTGCACGTTAAATACCAGAATAAGAGGACATTAGAGCACATTGAATCTTAGACCCTGTCCAGTTTATTTAATAATAATTACTGTTGATTATCTGGACAAAGTTTATTCTGTTGGATCCAAGTAAGAGTCAAACAGACTCACCACAAAACATCAAGTAGACAAGTCCCATCTTCATCCTCCATGTCAACTAAGAGGAAGAGGAGGACAAATGTAATCATGTTTCAATTATTAGGATGAAGGATGAATCAGTGAAGGAAAAGCACACGTTATGGCTGCAACTACTTCCATCATCGATTAAATGATCTTTATGTTGGTTATTGGTTATCGTTGCTCTCTGGACTGCACTGACACAAAGTTCATTTAAAAACAACTTAAATACATTTGGATTAACAGTCTTCTAAAGCATCTACTTGTGACTTATTAATGTCTGTGTATAGAGGTTTGTACAATATTTGCCCTCCTGTTCTCTTCTATAGACTTAAAGCTAAACTGAGTTTGTATAAAACCAGAGGTGCCATCTTTAAATAGCTTTTTGTGTTCGACCAACAGTCCAGAATCCAAAGAAATTCAATTTGCGATGAACAGAGACGAATGATGAATCCTCACGTTTGAGAGGCAGCAAGCGGGGCTCGATTAGAGTTTTTGCTTAATAATTAACTTACATGATTGATTATCAGAAAAGAAACTGCTTCAGTATTAACTTGTGTTCAGGTCAGTGATTCCCAACCTTTTTGACCCAATACAGCTACTTGAGAAGTTCAAAAGAGTGATTTTCTGTCATTGTTTCATTTGAAGTAAGAGGTGAACGTATCCAGCATTTTGCAAGAAACTAAAATCTTTAAAACATATTTTATTTTGTGGAATCATGACACTTGTGGGTCCCAAACCAGAGGATGGGAATCACTGGACGGAACATTTTAAAGTTAAAAATTGAACCAGCTTGTCATCATCCCACCTAGTTATCTCCTCATGACTCATGTGTCCACGTCCCACACCTCAACATGAACCTACTTCATATGTGAGAGGCCCCATACAGAGCGGTCGAGCTGAGTTCTGGTGGTGGCCTCATGGGAAGTCGTGGCCGGGCTTCAGTGTCTGGAGGCGGAGGGATGCCAGACCGAGGCGGCGGGACGGAGACGGGTCCTCCCTCTGCTGCTGGAGCATTGCTGCGTCTTCAACGTGGAGAGGCTGGAGGGTGAGGAGAGGGGAGGCACAAACACACCACCACATGCTGTCAGGTCACTTGAGGTTACCAGCAGCCAAAACACATTCTCATCTCAGCGGTGAGACACAAGATCAATACATGATTCATCAGTTTTCTCCTCCGGCTGAGCAGCGCTGCTGCTGGTGTGATCGGACAAACTGGAGGGGGGGGGGGGGGACCGAATCTTTACCAATAATGGCATTGATTATTGCTTGATGCCGATGAGGAGGGAAAAATGGAAGCTATTGTTGTGTATATCGCAGGCATGAACGCCTCGGCTGTAAATAGACGGCTCCCCCTGCGTCTTGGTTGTGACTGGTCCTGTCATGGCTGAGAGAGAGAAACAAGAAGCGATGTGGAGGAAAAAGCTCGGAACAGTTCAAGCCAATTATAACATTACTCACTGCCTCGCGCTCAGTCTCCAGGGGAGGTACCTTTTTTTTCAAATAAACAAGACAAACCTCCCTCTCCGATCCCGCTGACATTATTATTATTTTGTTTACAACACGACAACCGCATTAACACCCTCGAGGTACCGCATCGCCCAATGAAATCCAGGCAGACGACCCTCATCTAAACCTGCAGCGGCAAGTGCATGCTATTCTCCGGCGACAACAGGACCGGGATCCACTGATGCGTTTCGCAGGTTACGTAAGGTGAATGTGTGTCCATGTGAAATCAATGTCCCAGACGATGAAGGACGCGGAGCCGCTGTTTGCTCCTTGTGGTGTTTTTCTGATTTTATTTATTATTTTTTTATTTATAATTATTATTTGTCCTCCTCCCTGAGCGGGACCACGGCAGCTGACGCCTGCTGTAAATCATATCGCGGTAACAAAAGATGCCTTGTGTTAAAATATCATTTCCACGCTGCCAGCCCCGAGCGATTCCCTTATCGGTGTGCCATTAGAGTAATTCCGCAATTCAACAAAAAAAAAAAAACAACCAAGAGGAGGGAGAGAAAAAAAACTCACCCCTTCTTTGTGGTTTATTGTCCTGTCAAGCGGGCCTCTGCGCCATCGATTCTCACTCAGTGGTCTTTTCAGATGCTAAAAGGAGGAGAGGGGGTGGTGGATGGGGTAGGGTAGGGGTGTGGAGAGAGAGAGGGGAGAGGGGGGGGGGGGGGGGGGGGGGGGGGGGGGGGGGGGGGGTACCGGAGTGGGTGTGAGAAACAGACTGGGAGAGCCGATCACAACACAAAGGTGGAGAGAGAGGGAGAGAATAAATACAACTGGCTGGAGAGAGAGATCCAGATTCAGGAGAGGACGCTGGCCGCCTCCTGCGCTGCGTCAGGCGGCACACACTCCGCACATGTCCCCGCACTTCAGTCTGTGTGTGCGTGTGTGTGTGTGTGGGGAGCTCTTTCATCCCTGATACAGATGTTTTATTTGCCTACATTTTATTGATTTTCTCTAGAGAACTGAGAATACTTTCTTAGGGAGGGTGGTAAAAATAAAAAATAAATCAATATTTAGAGACGTGCTAATTTGCCACTGTACTGCATGCCTAAAGGAGGAAATTACCATGTGGAGCACATTATCATCCTAAATAACACTTTACTACAAACTGTTAGAGGGAGAAAGAAGGAAACTGCTTGGTGGGGAAAAAAGACAGGAATGAGAAATATATTAATCAGGAAATAAGAATTAAGTGAGAAAAGGCAGCTCGGGAAGAAAAATAAATACATTTGAAATGTTAATCCCACAAGTCTCATCTATTTGGAAAGCTCAGCAAACCAAATATTTCCAGGCAATCTACCACTTTATCAGTGTTAAAGGGAGGATTATCATGTGCACTAGATAAAGCCAACTAAGCACTTTTTTACAGTAACCACTTTAAAAAAGAAAATGAGAAGTCAGGACAGTAAACAAATATATTTTTTCCAGGCAATTATAAAAAAGAAACAAGATTCCCAGACCTGCTTATTTTTCACTGTATTGAGGGAAAACTGCAAAGAATATTCACATCCTGAACAAGTTTCTGTAGTCGGCACTTAACTGTCAAAGAGGAAGAAAGGGTGAAAGAAAAATCAAGAAATTGCTGAAGTAAAAACAACGAGAAGAGACGGGACTGAAACCAAAGGAAGAAAGAATTTAATTTTGAATCTCATTCTCACACCGAGTCAGTTTTGAACGTCCAGGAACCAAAAAGCATTCTTCCAAGGGACAGTTAGAATAAATCAAAATCAATATTTTGAAACGCGCTCGTTTGCCGCTGTATTGATTGAAAAATGAGGAAATGTGCACGACACCAAAGCAAATTAACATCCTCAGTAACACTTTACCGTCAACAGCACACGGTCTAAGGAGGGCCAAATAAGAAAAGAGCAAAAGGAGAAAAGACAGAACAGAAAGGAAAATGTGGAAGGAGGAACATTTCATGCTTTAGGTTAAATTTCCAGGAAACTGGAAATAATTTATCTAGGTAGTAAAATAAAATGCTCGATATTTCAAAATGCTCGTTTTCAAAAACTGTGGAAATTACCTTGAGCAAGGCTGCAAAACAAACTTATCATTCGTAGCACTTTACTGCAGTCGACAGTAGAGGTGACAGAATAAAAAATTAAAATAAATACAGAAATGAGGAATGAAACAATAAAAAAAACAGAAACCGATGGAAGGATAATTTAATTCTTACAACGCACAGCTATTTAAAAAAAGAAGAAATCTTTCATTTATTTTAGGAAAAAGAGAAACTTAATTCAGAAACGTTTTTTAAGGAAACTTTATTAATAAGGCAAACATTAAAACACGCCCCTCTTGATGAGTAAAAAAACAAAACAACAAAAGTTGTCAAAAACTTCTTAGAACAAGTTACTCAAACCATTTGAATGCAAGTTGCAGATCGTAAATCATATTGGACCCCCTCCCCCCCTCCCCTCCTCAGAGGCTTCACTTTGCGGCCTGCTGGGCCTGGCGGCGGAGCAGCACGTAGATCTTCTCTTTGATCCAGTCCTTGTTGTACGGCTGGTACGTCTGTGTGTCGGCCCGATACCTGAGACAGACATGAAAAACTAGATTCAGTTTCAGGTTTCTTTTCGCTCTGGAAGCTCAGTTTCTCTAATGAGACGCTTCTGTTTGCTCGTTTGGATGGATGGGCCTAACGGGGGTCCAGGCTGAATCCTGGCTTGTTCTACATCTCTACGAGAGCGATATTCTGCATCATTGTAATAATAAGAAGACCCTCTCACAAACCTGATGGTACATTACGAGGGGTTTATCCTCCCCAAGACATATGTTTGAACAATATGATAAAGCATGGATACTGATAAACACACGGCTCAGCCTGCTGTTGTCTTATGTGACATTTCCCTGCAAACTGTATAGATTGTATAATTTTTAAAACTGATGCGCGCACATAAAATATGTTCCTATTTTATTAGTACACAAAATGCGCTGCAATGACAGTGGAGCAAAGATTTATGTGCACAACTTAATTTAATATATTTCACTATTGACACCTAACTTTAACTGTACTGCATGCGTGCTCCTGTTTAGGACCATAATGCCGTCAGAGGATTGTAAGTGAACTTCTGGTCTGGGACGGCCCACATGTTGAAGGCAGAGACTTTAAACCTCTAAGATATCATTTATACTTATTACTTTGTTATCCTGTGAGGAAATGTAACTAAAAAGTGTGCTTCTGTACAAAATGCAGAGCATTCATTTTGACTAATAATGGAGGACCTTTTGTAAAATGTAACCATCTTCATGACTCCTATTAAAATACAATAAGTGGAAACGGTCTGGGGCACCATTTAAATTACGACACGTGTATTACACACAACAACTCATGACAGTGTTTTCTAAATCGTTCATGTCATTAGTTAGTTTCCTTGTCAAACTTACACCAAGCAGCTGAGGTCGGCCAGGTCATCGATGAAGTCGAACAGCTGGCTGATGTCGTATGTTATCGACGGACTGTTGGGGTTCATTCTCTTTAAATGCTCCTCGTACATCTTGCACACACCTGTGCAGGAGACAGAAGATCCAGTAAATTATACTCATTGATATGAAACTATAT